GGGTGAAAGCCTCTCAACCTTGATGTTCAGCTCTGCCTCCTGCTCCTGGCCCATAGATGCTAGAGGCTTTTCATCACTCAGACAGATGCTGGCTGCTAAGGCTGCCAACCCCAAGGTTAACTAGTAAAAAGGCACAGTCCCAATGTTACCAAACCACACAACAGGCCATTAATTCAAGTTCATTTTAAGTCCCAAGGCTGGCAGAGCATGGCAGACTGTTGAACAACAACACAGCTACATGCAGGGTCTAAGCGTACCATAAGCTAGAGACCATTCCCAAAGCTGCTCTTATATACAGGAAGCAGACCTTATACCCAAAGCATCTACTCAGCTGCTTGTGGTAGATCCCACCATGGAGTTGATTACCAGTCTCATCATGGGGAATAACTACCACCAACTTCCCAGCCACTCAACCAGGCCCAGCCAAGTTGACACAAAACATAACTACCACATTTGTGAAGGAGAAGAGTCAACTCTAAAGTTTTTGGCACCTGTAGAGAAGTCCCCATCAACTGACAAAGGGAAGTCTGTATGTAGGTGGAGCAGAACAAACATAGGGTGATAGATTATGAGTTATATTTTGTCAGGCGAAATGAATCCTCCTAACCAAATTAAGAAAGAAGAAAATCAAGATGGCAGAATAGGCAGAGAAACTACACAGACCTCTTTCTTTTATTTCTCTTCAACAAAGAAAAGGGGAACCAGTTAACAAAGATACAGAAGATAATCCTGGAGCCTGAGCTTTGAAAAGAAGGATGCAGTAGTGGACTAGCCTCCAACTAGTAGAAAAACCTGCATGAAAACACCAAAAAAGGAGACGTATGGAGGTGCAGTCTATCAGCGATCCTGGCAGCATGGACAGCTTGGATATTGTCAAGTTGTATTAAGACCTAAGAATTAACCTACAAATTGGCCCTGCTAGCCAAGCGCTACATGGAGAACTGAATTGGTGGCTGGTGAATGAAAGGGGAAGCAGCAAAGAGGGAGACGGGTTGAGCTGTGGATTTTTGGCTGTCCAGAGGGAACAGCCATTTTGAACGTTTACAAGTGGTTCTACCATTTTGAATATTTAAAGGGACAACATTCTCTCAGATTTCAGAGACCTAATAATAGACTCCACTTGCCAGGACTGCAAGAATGTTCCATACACAAATTACTACAAAGGTGTGAATAACTGCAAAATTTAGAATACTAAAATTTCAGAAATAGATAACACATTGAAAAGACAAAGGAGTAGAATCACATTAATGGAAGACAAAATTAATGAGGTTGAAACAAATGCCTGAATACTTCTTTGGAAAAGGATCGATCAGAAAAAAAGATAAAAACATAATGAAGAAAGCTTAAGATTTATGTGGGATATCATCAACAGGAGTAACCTACATCTAATTGGAATTCCGGGACAGGAGGAAAGAAATAAAACAACTGGGAAAATTGTCCAAGATTTGTTGGAAGAGAACTTCCCTGATATGATGTTGCTGTTATTTGCTGTCGAGTCGGCCCCAACTCATAGCGACCCCTCCTTGGGTTTTCAAGGCAGTATCACTACGGAAGTAGGATTGCCAACCTTCCTTCTGAGGAGTGGCTGGTGGGTTTGAACCGCCAGCCTTCTGGTTAGCAGTCAAGTGCTTTAGCCACT